CTTATCCTTCTTCAGCACTGCAGAAAATATAAGGCTGGTGGTACAGTGGTTAAGAGCTCAGCTGCTAACCAAAAGGTTGGCAGTTCAAATCTACCAGCTGCTCCCTGGAAACCCTCTGGGGCAGTTCTACTCTGTCCTATAGGGCGACTAAGAGTGGGAATCGACTCCACAGCAGTGGGTTTGGTTTGGTTTTGAATGGTGAAGTGGAAAAATTTGAGCAGTAGCCAAAAGCCCTCTCTCCCCCCAAGTAGCTTCTCCACCTGCTCTTTGGCTCAGGTCCCACACGGATGAGCTTGGTCTTGACTCTGCCATTTACCAACCTTTTTTACCTTGGGCAAGTTACATAAACTCCTTGAATCCCAACTTCTCAGCTTTAAAATAAGGATCACCCAGGGCTGCTGCTCACCTGTATGGTGCTTTGTGGAGATTGAAGAAGGTGCCCCCCTGGATAGGCGCACCTGTGTGTGGTGCACAGCCGGCAGGCCCATGCTCACTCCCTCAGCTGAGTACCTGGTGCCTTACCAATTTGCATAACCACACACTGCAGCCCCAGCTATACCCACCTCCACAGGGTTCTTGAGACAAATAATGGTGGGAACACGCAAAGCATCCAGCAGGGAGCCTGGCTCTGAGCAGAACCTCAGTTAAAAAATAAAAAAAAAAGCTAATGCAGACCTCTTGGACTTGGATTAACATGTAGGTAGGTGTACTCTGCTGGGGATGAGGGCACATTCAGCCATTTTCAAGCACTTACTGCTCAACTCCAGGGGATTATCAGTGTGCTCCTGTCTCTTAGCAGCGCAGAGCCCTGAGGGGCTGGGATGTGAGCCGGTGTGCACAGTGAAAGAGCAGACTCGTGGTAATCAAGGGCCCCAGGCACACAAGGGGCAGTAGGAGGGAATGGTGAGTGGACAGGGGATGGTCTGAAAGGGACATGAGAAACCAACCGCCCCTTGGGTCTAGCAGCAGACTTCCCACTCCCCTGCAGAGTGCCTCCACCCCTCCCCACCCACCACTCGAGAAGGCCTGGGGGTCCCATGGGGCATGTTTTGCTGTCCTTTCACTTCACTGATAGATAAGCCAGCTGCCTCCACGGGTACTGCAGACCAGAACTTCTCAGAGCCCGGGAGTGTGAAGGCCCTCAGGCAAGCAGGGATTTCAGAATGCCATATCCATTCTGTCAGAGCAGCTTTTCCTTAGGAGGAAATCACTGTGAGAAGACGATGAATAAAAACCACATGGGTATATTTATTGAAGGAAGATGAATTATGCCATCACCCCTTCTGGCACAAAAATAGTTTTCAGTAAAAGGTTAAAACCATCATGTTGTATCAATGAGAACTTTTCCATTATTCCAAGAATGATTGATTGGAAAGTACTTTACTTACAGGAAAATCACAGTGATACAATACAGCTTCTACTTTTAAAGCACTTTCCATTAAAAAAAAAACATACCAATGTATAAAAATAGTTATACTGAAGATGTGAATCAACAGCCAAGTAATTTATTTTCACTTGAAAGCTATGTGGTATAAATAGATTCAACAATGAGAATATCAAGTACCTCTGGTCCGTGGCAACCTAACCTCCATTTTCACTAACACAAAAGAAAGTCACATTAGTTCAGCAAGGGGCATCTGGCCACCTTGGAAGAGATCATAGGAAGAGAAAGAACATGATGAAACTAGGAGCGGTAGGTGAGGCCAACTCAAAACACTGGGCAAGGCAATGTGGAAGAGACAGAGGGGACAGAGGTGGGGTCCCCTTCCCTCAAAGACGCTGTCCAGGCTCAAGGCCTGTACACAAAATACTCGATACAATGCAGTAAGTGTCATAAGAGAAATACAAAGGGTTATGAGAAATCAAAAGAGATTCTTTTCAGCTTGATTTCCCTCTTTTCCCCCATCCCTGGCTGTCTTCTCCCACAAACATTTACTGTGTGAGGTAATGTGAAAAGAGCTGGAATCAGCTGGGCCTGGATTCAAATTGCAGCTCTGCCATTTACTAGCTGTGTGACCCTGGATGAGTTACTTAATGTCTCTGAGACTCAGTTTCCTCAAGTTTCAGTGGAGGTTGTAAAGATGAGGTCAGTGTTGTATGTATGTATATAAAGTATCCAGCTTGGCTGCCTCCTGATGCCAAGCAAACAATGGATGTTCACTCCCCTTCATAGCCTTCCACTCCTCTGTGAAGGTTAAGTAGTACTTTTCTGCTCCTTTCATGCTTAAGTTCCAAAGAACTTTTGCATGGTTGAACGTAATGTGATTTTTCAGACAGTAACGTGATTTTTCATGCATTTACTGGCCTTCATGTCCTTGAGCTGATGGCTCCTGTCAGCCAGGAGTCTCCTAGTACTTTGGACTCAGTGGCACAACTGCTGCCGTCTTTGGGAAGAACCTAGAATCACCTTTCATCTCACTCTGATGAGAGGGTGGAGACTGAGACAGCTAGTCAGTCCATTAGCAAACATTTACTGAGCATATACTACTTTTTTTGGAGTCCCTGGTTGGTGTAAACGGTGAACGCACTCGGCTACTAACCGAAAGGTTAGAGTCCACCCAGAGGCGCCTCAGAAGAAAAACCTGGAGATCTACTTCCAAAAAATCACCTGTTGAAAACCCTGTGGGGCACAGTTCTACTGTGGCACACATGGGGTCGCCATGAGTTGGAGCTGACAACTTTTTTTTTTTTTAATACACTCTGGGGAGTTATCAAGGAAAGAAGACACGATTTCTGCTATTTTTAATGCAGAAGGACTTAACCTTTTGCAATCTTTATCAACAGTGTGTAGCACCGAGAATGAAGGCAAATACAGTTTAGGAAATCGTTGTTGCCTGAATAATGCTTCCAGCACATGGTTCCACCAAACACTGTTTCCCTGGCTTTGGATGTAGTGGGAAGTAATTTAAGTGATTTCAGTAGCATTTTCAGGTATAGGTACAATATTTTTAAAACATTCTTAAAAATCTTGTCTGCAGGCAAATACCCAACTAGCAAAAAAGCAGTGTGTGAAACTGCTTTCTGACAGTGATGCTAGAATGGTTCCCCTCAGCCTTGTGCTGCAAGGTAAAGGTGACGGAGGCGGGTACCATGGTAAGATGTTAACAAAAGTGGGCATGGGGCATATGGAAACTCTCTGAACTATCCTTGCACCTTTCTGTGAATCTAAAACAATTCTAAAAATTTATTTAAATATATTTTTTAAAGTGCAGTTTGGCAATGGATTGACCTCCTGCTTATCTCCACGACTTTAACTATAGGGAGCTGGTGACAGTTTTGTGGGAGCTTTGGCCTTCTACCTGGCTTACTACCCAAATCTGCCCTTGGAAGAAATGCTCAAGAGATCCAATTTCATCGCAGCAGCCAGCGTCCAGACTGCAGGAACACAGTCATCTTATCTATACAAAAAGGACCTACCACTTGATCTGTTTTGATTGCTGTTAACCCCAAAACAAATGCACTGGAAACAAAATGTACTTGGGGGTGGATACTCTTAGCTGGCAGCTTACTATAAAATGTCCTCTTCTCCTTTCTTTGCAGATACTGTTCTTTGCTAGCAGTCATCCTCAAGTTTTCATTTATTTATAATTCCTTTGCTTTGCATCCATTTCTAAGAGCCAACCAGAATTAAGGATTCCATGACCAGAATCTGTACAAACATCACCATTATTCAGGGACCAGAAAACCTCTATTGCCAACTGATTGTTAATGTTATAAACTGTCTAGCAGCCGTTGTGGACAAGTGTCTGGAGTCAGAGCAGGGAATGTTATATAAGGGAACAGATGAACTTGACCACTCAATCTAAGAGGGGCAGCTGATATTCCGCTTTAGCTTAGTGTTTCCAGAGCTTCTGGTTTTTCAAAAAGTCAGAAATTTGGAAATGTATTGGAATCTTTCAGTGGTTAAATATCAGCAACTGATTTTTGAAGTAACCGCCACCAGTGAGCCACATTTAGCCCATGACCTGAATTTACAAGTCATTTGGTAAACCAGATTTTACAATAAAAAAGGCCATCTATGCGTGTCACAGACCCTTTACGTTGGCTTAGCTAGGATCAGTTGAGGGGTTTTCTCGTAACTCAAGATCATTGTGTATAGTTTCAGCCAAAACTTATAGCCAGGATCTCACCTGTTACAGCTTTGAACCAAAGCTTTAACAGAGGATGCCAGAAATTAGCTGACTGACTAGTAATGCCACAAGCCTCTAAGACTCAACAACTGTCTACACCTAATTCCATTTCTGGAAAGCTGCTCCTCCATTTCCTCTGGAGAGACACAGATTGGGCCACGAGGAGACAAGTTATTTCAGAGACAGTATTGGTCTCTTCATACTTGTGGCCATAGCAGACACTCTATCATCCTTCCACACTAAATGGGGTAGGATATGAACCAGAAGAGCTCAAAATGTGAGCTGATCCTTCCCTTCAGCCAGATATTTGACAAGAAAACTGAGCAATTTTGAAAATTTGTGGGAAACAGTAGCTTAAGGGAGAAAAAGGTACAGATCTGGGTAAGATGGGTCCTTATCCGAACATAAGGAATTATCAGTAGTTTTATGGAAATACAATCTAGCTCCTCTTATTTAAAAAAAAAAAAAAAAAAATCTGGGGTATAAAGGAATCCAAAGCTGTCCTAGGAAATCCCGGGTACCTCTGGTAACCTAGGATTGAGAATATGGACCAATGGTGTTTTTTCCTAACTACGCACAAACCAAAACTAGAAGTTCTCTGGGCTTCTTTTGTGTTACAAGGCTCCCTTCTTATCATTCCTCCTCACTCCTGCCACGTCAGTTAGTACATGGGGGTTTTTCCAAGATCACTCTGGAGTGTTATTCTGCCTTTTCTATGAAGCATAAGGAGAAGCAGGCTGGAAACTCTTGTACAAGTCTCATTACGGAAAATTTTCACTTCTTTTCTTATATGAAACAATGGTTATTTTTTAGTAATGTTGCTGATTTTTTAATTTCAAATAGTGGGAAAAAACCACTAAGAGACAATAACACTGGCTATTTTAATATTTTTTTATTAAGGGCTATAAAAATATCTAGGAAGATAAATAAATGTGATGCAATGATTTATGTCCTAATATGAAGAACTTTCTTTCACTGTATTGTTTTCCTTCACAATGGCCTTCAAATCACAGGAGGCAGTGATTCCATGCCATTTCCTCTTCTTTTATTACACGCTGCAGGATTTCTGAATCAGTATCCCGCCCTCCAGTCTTCTCATTTATAAATCAAATTCATTTTCAATCCATTGTTTAGAGGGAGCGTATTTTCTTCTGTTCTACAAAGAGGACTTTTTTGTTCACTGTGGGGGGAGAAAAAAGAATTGTAACAAAACTAAAAAGTATCATCGCCATTTTTATTAAAAATGTGTAACAGACCACGAGCCCTCTCCTTTTTCTTATTTTACTATTCCCTCGACATGAAGATGGAGCTGATTTACCACCTCAGTCCAAGAGGCCAGAGAAGACTGAAGAAAATGTTAGGGAAAACAAAGGAAAGGCCACCAGCCACTAGGTGCCCCGCCTTGGCATGCCACAAGGTCACACCGCAATCAATGTGAAATACTCAAATTGAAAATAGGGGCCAAAAGGGGAAAACAATGTATTCACCCAGTTAAAGTCTACTCTGGTAGGAGATAAGCAAGGGCTGATGGGAGCTGGACTCTAGGAAAAGAACTGAGCAGATCGTGGGAGAAAGCCAGCCTGGCTGACAGAGTAAGGACATCTGCATCCTGCACTTTTCCAGAGACGGTTTCATACACTTAACTACGAATTTTTCAGTTTCGTAACTGAAGTAATATCATAACCAACATCTCATTATTGTAGATACCACTACAGAGGACAATTCTTTGAAACAAAACCAGAACAAAAGTGCTATCTGCCTAGATGAAAGATCGGACACTGGATTCTCTGTAATAATATTTTCATAGTTCCTATAATGTTAATGCCCTTATAATACTCCATAAACTGCCTACATCTCTGTCACGCACACCAACACCTCTTTGCCAAAAAAACAAACAATGCACCCAGGAAGATCCAAGAACTCAAAGGACTATGATGTACAACTCCTCACTTGTCCCTACCATACAGAGATTTTGCTTTGTTTTATCTTCTTCTGCAATTAATATGGATCCTCTGTAAATGAGATTACCAAACTGTCTAGGATTAAGAAATAGCTAGGGAGTTTACTTAAAAGCCATTCCTAGTTCTCACCTCCACCCCTTCCCTAACTCCGGCTCAGGAGATCTAGAGTGGGACTGGAAGTACACATTTTTTAAAGCTCCTCAGGTGATTCTGATAGGCAGTTGGATTTAAGAACCATTAACATAAACACACACACACATATTATTACACTGTACGTAAAGGATAATTTTTAAATACTTCAAATCATCTAAAATTAAATATAAGTAGGATTGAGACTCCTGATTCCAAGGAGGACTACAAAGCATTACAAGATGGTAATAAAGCACCAAAATAGTTTCCCATCAAACAATGTTATTAATTGGGAGAAATATTTCCCCCATGTTATTCTACATAGAACTAAAAAATGGGTAAAGAAAGGGAACTTGTCTCACTGATAACCAAACCAAGAGACTATCATTTCCGACACCTAGCGACCCTACAGGACAGAGTAGAACTGCCCCACAGGGTTTCCAAGGAGCAGCTGGTGGATCCCAACTGCTAACCTTTTGGTTAGCAGCGAAGTTCTTAGTAAGCCCAACAGGAGCCTAAGGAAACCCTAGTGGTGTAGTGGTTAAGTGCTACAGCTGCTAACCAAAAGGTCAGCAGTTCAAATCCACCAGGTTCTCCTTGGAAACCATATAGGGCAGTTCTACCCTGCCCTATAGGGTCGCTATGAGTTGGAATCAACTTGACAGCAAGGGGTTTGGTTTTTTGGTTATAGGAGCCTAAAAATCAAAGGGGACTGGAATGGTGAGGGAAGACGAAGGGTGGGGGTGGGGGGGTGGATAAAGTTTGGCCCCTGAAGGAGCATTTAGATGAACTAAGACGGGGAGGCATAGGGGAATGGTGGTAGGACGCAGGAATGACAGTGGGGCTCCACGGCCCTGAAAGCTAGACTGACCTAGGGGAAGGTCCTGATTTTTTTAAGAAAAGTTTTATTTAGCTCCATTAACAGAATATGGAGCTTAGGGTCAGAAACACTGGGTTCAAACATTGGCTTTTATGTAGAATAACATGGGGGAAACATAACACTTTGATGGAAAACTATTTTGGTTCTTTACTACCATCTTGTAATGTTTTGTTAGAGTCCTCCTTGAAATCTTAGGAGGAGCAACCCTACTTATATTTAATTTTGAATGATCAGCTGTTGAGTCCCTGAGCAAACTTCTTAAAACACTCCAGCCTCAGTTTCCTTCCCTGTGAGAGGGATAACAGTATGTCCCTCACAGCTGGGTTGCCAGATACACAGTGAGCACTCAATACATGTTAGCTGAGTTGAAATGACACACTGCTATCCACAATCATAAACTTTCTGTCAAAATATTTGCTGCTTAATTCATAGAAGAGTGAATCTGCCAAGTTCTTTCTCTACATCTAAATCTATTCTGCTTCAATTAAAGTCTGTATTATCTTGTTTAGTCACCCAAGGAATTAAAACTGACAAGTTTTCGCTCTCTTTATAATAAACCTTCATATATTTAACTAAAACAGCCTTGGGGGTACAGTGGTTAAGCACTGAGCTGCTAACCAAAAGGTCAGCGATTCAAACCCACCCACCACTCCACGGGAGAACTGCCACACCAGTCCACTATTATGTGGCAATCTGCTTCCATAAAAGATTACAGCCTTCGAAACGTGGGCAGTTCTACTCTGTCCTATAGGGCTGCTATGGGTCAGAACTGATTGAATGGCAGGGGGTTTGGTTTTGGTTTTTTGGTTTACAGGCAGCCCCCAGGTTCCAAACGAGATCCATTTCTGAGTGTATCTTTTTAAGAATTTGTAGGTAAGCTGGAACAGGCGCATATAGTTCTTATTTAGCTTTACTTTAATGCAAGAAAAGGCTGGAAGCCTCTTCAGTGAGTTAAAGCTACACGTGCAGAAAGTGAGGGTGACTGTGATGAAGAATTTGTTGGGAGGAGGGGTTGGTTCAATCGTTTCAAAGCTAGGGCCAATTTTCATAACATTAAAGGGCAAGTATGAGTTGTCTGCAAGTCAGGCGTTAGTAACCCAGGGACTGCCTGAATATTTAACATAGTTTAATAATCTTATTCCTGGGCCATTATCTTCTCTCCCTGGAAATTAGCATCTAGTCTTATATGAAGAAAATGTGTTTTGAAAGGGCAGAAGCATGTGTAGCTGGTTCTTGCTATAGAGTGTACTATGAAATGCTCAAATCATTGGGAAATATTGTTTCCTTACCTGATTTCCTTCATAAAGCAGGCCAATAAAACATTACCCTTAAACTTGCCATTTACTCATTGTGGTAAAAAAAAAAAAAAAAAATGCTGGGAGAACTGCCAAGCTTTTTGGTACCCTGAGCAGTGGGGCAGGCCCCAAGGCAAACATCGCAAGCCTAAAGGACATTCAGTCAGTTGGCAGGAAGCCAGGCACTCTGCTATCTCAGAACATTCTCTTCTTCAGAAAAGACGAAGTTGTGTTGTCAAGGCACAGACAGTTCCTTATCAGAAGAATTCTAACCATGTTTGAATGTTACATATGAATCTTTCCTGCACTTCCATCTTATGGTCAGAATTGTTTATAGCTGTAAACTTTCCCAATCTCAAAGCTTAAAATCAATCTGACAAATTAGTTCCTAATACCTCCATGCTAAGAATGGAAATTCCAATACATTCTCATACTTAAAATATCATAGAAGGTTATTCAATCAATGTTTATTAAGCATTATAAAGTGCATGCTCCTAAAAATAAACTCTAAAGGAGCTAAAATGGTAGAAAAACAATTACTTTACTGCAAAGTTCATTCCTTTAAGCTTTCACCAGCTGATACAAAAAAATCAGGAGAAAAACGCCACACCGATCCACTATCATACCTTCTCATTCTATTAATTCTTCCACTATATAAGGAATCATCCTGAAATTCAGATTCCTAATCCTCAGGTAGAAACCTAGAATTCCCTTATTATTATAATGAATGACTAGAAATTCTAACACTATGAAAACAGCAGGTAATCTTATTTCTGTTAAAGAATGGAACTCAAGCCATTTTAAGTCAACAACTGTACTCCTAGGGTCTTTTTTTTAATGCCTTCACATGTCGTACAGCACTTATCTCCTTAAGAAGCAATTATAAAGGGGCTGTATGGATGCAAGGGCTCAGAATTCTAAAATAAAAAACCTGCTTGTTGGTTTACTAAGCATAAATCTGCAGGTGAAATCCAGAAACAAGATGGCCTTCCACCAACAGCAATCAGGTGCTGCCTACAGGCAGTTCCCAAGTACAAAGGGACAAATTTTACATGCACTTTAATGTTATGTAAATTTGCCCTCACTTCCAAATGAATGACCCAGATTGAACCAACTGCTACTCACAACAAATTCTTCATCACAATCACCTTCACTTGCTGCACGTGCAGCTTTTAAATCATTGGAAAGCCTTAAACCTTTTCTTGCACTAAAGTAAAGCTAAATAAGAACCCTATGCACATGTTCCAACTTACCTACAAATCTGACTTAGAGACAGCAATGGGTATCGTTCATAACCCAGGGACTGCTTATATCTTGTTTGTGGCAGGCAATCTGGCCTTGGGAACACGTCTCTTCTGGACAAATAATTCTCCCATCTCGCAAGAGAAAGATGTGGCAGCCTGCTTCCATGAAGATTTACAGTTTTGGAAACCCTATGGGGCAGTCGTCCTAAAGAGCTGCTATGAATCAGAATCAACTCGATGGCAATGGGTTTTGGTTTGGGTAGAGGATGGTATAAAGTATGACATCAAACTGCCTACTCTCCTGCACTGAAATATACACACTACATCCCCTTCCACCACACGATGTCAGTTTGTTGTACTGTAGTGGCTTGCATGTTGCTATGATGCTGGAAGCTATGCCACCAGTATTTCAAATACCAGCAGGGCCACCCTTGGTGGACAGGTTTCAGTGGAGCTTCCAGACTAAGACAGACTAAGAAGAAGGATCTGACGGTCTATTTCTGAAAAAAACTGGCCAGTGCAAACCTTATGACTAGCAGGGGAACACTGTCTGATATAGTGCTGGAAGATGAGCCCCTCAGGTTGGTAGGCTCTCAAAATATGACTGGGGGAGAGCTGCCTCCTCAAAAGGAGAGTGGACCTTAATGACATGGCTGCAGTCAAGCTTTCAGGACCTTCATTTGCTGATGTGGCACGACTCAAAATGAGAAGAAACAGCTGCAAACATCCAGTAATAATCAGAATGTGGAAGGTACAAAGAATCAATCTAGGAAAATTGGAAGTTGTCAAGAATGAAACGGAATGCATAAAGATCGATATCCTAGGCATTAGTGAGGTGAAATGCACTGTATTGGCCCTTTGGAATTAGACAATCACATGGTCCACCACGTCGGGAATGACAAATTGAAGAGAAACGGTATTGCATTCATCATCAAAAAGAACATTTCAAGATCTATCCTGAAATACAACACCGTTAGAGGTAGGATAATTCCATACACCTACAAGGAAGACCAGTTAATATGACTATTATTCAAATTTACGCACCTACCACTAATGCCAAAGATGAAGAAGCTGAAGATTTTTACCAACTTCTGCAGTCTGAATTAATCAAACATGCAATCAAGATGCACTGAAAATTACTGGTGATTAGAATGCAAAAGTTGGAAACAAAGAAGGATTAGCAGTTGGAAAATATGGCCTTGGTGACAGAAACAACACCAGAGATCACATGACAGAATTCTGCAAGACGAACAACTTATTCATTGCAAATACCTTTTTTCAACAACATAAACGGCAACTATACACATGGACCTTGGCTGATGGAATACACAGGAATCAAATCGACTACATCTGTGGAAAAATATAACAGAGAAGCTCAATATCATCAGCCAGAACAAGGCCAGGGGCCAACTGCGGAACAGCCCATCAATTGCTCATATGCAAGTTCAAGTTGAAGCTGAAGAAAAAATAAGTACACGAGAGCCAAAGTACAACCTTGAGTATATCCCACCTGAATTTACAGACCATATCAAGAATAGATTTGACACAATGAACACTAGTGACCGAAGACTTGTGGGATGACATAAAGGACATCATACATGAAGAAACCAAAAGGTCATTAAAAAGACAGGAAAGAAAGAAAAAGACAAAAATGGATGTCAGAAAAGACTCTGAAACTTGCCCTTGAACGCAGAGTAGCTAAAGCAAATGAAGAAATGATGAAGTAAAAGAGCTGAACAGATGATTTTAAAGGGTGGCTCGAAAAGACAAAGTAAAATATTACAATGAAATGTGCAAAGACCTGGAGTTAGAAAACCAAAAGGAAGAACAAAAAATGGCAATTCTCAAGTTGAAAGAAATGAAGAAAAAATTCAAGTCTTGAGTTGCAATACTGAAGGATTCTATGGGCAAAATATTGAACGACACAGGAAGCAGCAAAAGAAGACGGAAGGAATACACAGTCACTGTACCAAAAAAAACTGGCCGACATTCAACCATTTCTGGAAGTAACACATGATCACGAACCAATGGTATTGAACAAAGAAGTCCAAGCTGCACTGAAGGCATTGGCGAAAAACAAGGCTTCAGGAATTGATGGAATACCAGTTGAGACGTTTCAAAAAATGGATGCAACGCTAGAAGTGCTCACTCCTTTATGCCAAGAATTTGGAAGACAGCTACCTGGCCAACCAACTGGAAGAGATTCATATTTGTGCTCATTCCAAAGAAAGGTGATCCAACAGAATGCAGAAATTACTGAACAATATCAGTAATATCACATGCAAGTAAAATTTTGCTGAAGATAATTCAAAAACGGATGCAGTAGTACATCAACAAGAACTGTCAGAAAGTCAAGCCAGATTCAGAAGAGGACACGGAACCAGGGTTATCACTGGTGATGTCAGATGCATCTTGGCTGAAAGCAGAGAATACCAGAAAGATGTTTACCTGTGTTTTATTCGACTGTGTGGATCCTAACAAATTATGGATAACACTGCGAAGAAGGGGAATTCCAGAACACTTAATTGTGCTCATGAGGAACCTGTACAGAGACCAAGAGGCAGTCTTTCAAACAACAAAGAGATACCGTGTGGTTTAAAGTCAGGAAAGATGTGCCTCAGGGTTGTATCCTTTCACCATGTTTATTCAATCTGTATGCTGAGCAAATAATCCGAGAAGTTTGAGTACATGAAGAACAGGATATCAGGATTAGAGGAAGACTCATTAACAACCTCTGACATGCAGATGACCCAACCTTGCTTGCTGAAAGTGAAGAGGACTTGAAGCACTTAGTGATGAAGATCAAAGACCACAGCCTTCAG